GCTATTCTGGTGACCACTTTTAGGACATGCACATGTAAGGCTAGACCAGTACCAGAAGTGATGTAAAATGGTGGAAAATAAAAAATAATCTGGCAGTTGATAGCTTGGTTCTTGGGATTCTCAGAAAATAACACAATGGCAGCCTTTCTTGTCTTTTTCTTTCCGTGTTGGCTCTGGTGAAGGAGGGCACTCCTGTTCTTGAAACTTCCTGAAACAGATATTTCAAATTAAATTCAGAGAATCATTTTCAGTTAAATAAAAATAAATACTGTATTTTAAGTTATGGGGTTTATACCCTTATGGAGGATGGACTTACTTTTGACATTCAAACTACTGCTTAAATCACAGCTTTTTGAGATCTGCCTTTTCTTTTTTTTTTATATATAAGAAACACCATTTTTTACAGAAGGCCAATCCCAAATTTAGTTTATCAGGCTTATTTACTGGGTGATAAATAAATTCCGAGATATTAAGGTGAAGAAAATACCTTTCAAATACATATTATATATTCATGCAAACATTATCCCTTATACATAGGAACACTTTATAATAGAGAGCATTGGTCAAAGCTCACAGGAAACAGCAGGCAGAATTTTCTCAGCAATTTCCCACTACATTTCAAAACATGTGCTGTAGCTATCCATTAATGTATGGGCATCAATTACCTGGTCAAGTTATCATACCTTATAACTCTGACAAGTTCATGAAAAGCTTGGTCTACATTCAGTCTGATTTTTGCTGAGGCTTCCATGTATGTTACTTTGAGCTGCCGTGCTAGCTGCTGACCTTCCTCTTGCGTCACCTGTAACAGACACCAATCATTAAGTTCAAGGCTTTTACATATACCTGCCAAGGATTTATTTCCCTCAAGCAATAATGTTCATTTGGCCACAGAATAGCTTCCACACTGCCCACATAATACAACTGGGAAGCAAATCCACCTGATACCGCTTTTCAAATGCAAGTGAAGATTTTTTTCTAAGTTTCTGCAACAAGCAAAGACCAACCCTCCAGGGAATTTCCCTCACTGCAGCTGCCTCATCTTCACTCTAGTTCTGCATAAAAAGACCAAGTTTTTCTTCACAGGCAAGAGTCCTCCACTCCTCAAAGCAAGTGCTTCAGTTAACATCTGCTGGATTACTAACAGAACTGTGAACACTACTACTACACTCACTGTCCCCCTGTCCTAGCTAAATCTAGACACCAAAAAAACCCCACCAAAACACAGATGAGTATTCTAGAAACAAGTGCTGATGTTTAGCTTCTGAATCTTTGTATTTAAAAATCTGCTTATGGAACAGCAAAATATTAATACAGACAGTCTTAAATGTAGCTTAAATTACAAAAGATCTGAAAAATCCATTAAGCCTTCAGGCTATCCAGAGATATTGAAGAAAACCTGTCTACTTTTGACTCCTTATGACAGAGAAAAGGGAAATGAAGAAGAAACAATGAGCATCATAGAGCCGGTATAAAATTTAGAGCGATGAAGCAGAAGGCAGGAAGCTAGCGGACCATTACAGCAAGGAGAAATAAGTCAGCCACAGCGCCAAACCAAAAGTGATCACTGTGAATTTTTGGATGAAGTAAGTAGAAAGCAGTGAGGTCAGAAAGCGGAAGGCTACCCCGAGCAGTGCAAGGCATGTGAAGCTTTAACGGGAAGGTCACCCACAGGGCCAGAGAGGAAAGGGCAGCTTTCAGTGATAAAAGGAAACACAACAGATCTTGCCAAGACAATGTCTAGTGGAAGAAATGTCAAAGATTACACTGCTTTCATAGAACAATGTTAAAGCAGCACGTAGAACACTGATATGATGAGAACCAAAAAGAAAAAAAAAACAACAAAAAGGTTTATTTTTAATTTAGCTTTGAAAAGGCACTCACATATTCCTTTAGATTAAGTAGCTACACAGAAAGAGATGGGAATAAGCAAGCACAGAAGTACTTATTAACTTGTAAAATACTTTCCTAACAGCTACACACATGGTTTGAGAGCCTTCATGCACAGTATCTCCACATCTTTGATTCTTCTGTTCTTAGTACCCCCACTGGCATTATATTCATTAATTTACTGCTGAATTGAGGGCTGCTCCCACTACACCCTCATGAAGCTCTACAAAGAGATCCCAACTGGAGTAACTCAGGATGCATCTGCTGATCTCAAACACTCTCAGAAAATTCTACATTTATTTCAGTGTTATCGCCATCAGCTGAAGCCAAAAAATACCCTCAAAACCGATCCAACACCAAGATCAACTACTGGAGCGCCATTTTTAACTGCAGGGCACAAACGGAGAATGACTGGGATCCTTCAATCCTCCATAGGTGTCTGAATATAGAATTATACTCAGGATTTCTGCTCCACTAACTAGAACAAACCCACTTCCACCTTCCTCTCTAGCCCCAGATGCTGAAGTATCCTTATTCCAAAGCTTACAAAGGCTGCACTTTGAGAAATATTCATAGGTACTTTCTGGCACATCAATGACATTGCAGAATTTCCCAAAGTTTGCATTAGGGTTTCCAGAACCTTCTGCACTTTTCTGCCTCACCAGACAAACGTAAGTTAAAGTACAGATATGGCAGTTTTTGCAAAATTAACCATTTTTACTTTTCTTCATCCCTGCATAGCATTTTCTAGTCCCAGAAAGTGAGAGGCTAAAGTGTAATAAAAATAAATAATTGGGAAAGAATGCATAGGCCTGAGGAGAAACTGAACCCAGCCTTTAAACGTACATGGTTACTACTTTCTCCATTACTGCATCTTAAGAACATTAGAAATACAAGTCAAACTAACACTGTAATAACATCAAGCTACACTTCCACAATATTCTGCATTTAAAATACTACAGGTGCAAATTAAAGTCCTTATTGCATTTACTAGACTATCTGTAGTTGCTTATATTCTTTCTAGTCTGTCTTACAAGTATATTGTCAAGTAGCTTGTGATCAATTTTAGTGACCTTAACAAGGTCAGTTTAGAAAAAATATTTGATTTTGGGTACAATACAGAAACATTTGCAGTGCCCAAGCTGTAAATCAGAGGTCAGAACATACCAGTTCCATTTTTCAAGTCTGAGGGAAATGCAGTATGTGCAAACATACAAAAACATGAATTTACGTCTTTTTACTCTCCCTTCTTGAGTACAACAACTCTGTATCATGACAGGCTTTTCAGTAAGTGTGATGCCAGAGCTTATTAAATATCACCAGAAAAAAACAAAAACTAAACCCTTTTTCTTCAAAGAACACAGTATTTTATTTTGACAGGAGTAGAGAACTACAGATTTCCTGGTAGTAACTGTGTGTGTATTGGCTCTGCAGGGAATCTCTCTTTAGTTTTGCTAATCTTAAGGCTGAATATGAATGGGAATCATGATATTTATCCTTTTGTTGCAGGATATTTTACTGGGGTTTTGGGATATCGTTAATTCATGCTGTTCAGACATTTGGTAAAAGTTTCTTAACCTAAACACCATTATAGAAGATTTAAGTGAGCAAGTCAAACATGGAAAAGCTTATTTCCCAACTCCCTAAGCTCACAGTCTTCTTACTAAAAGAGTTAACATCTGAGTATCTGTGCAAGAATCCTGTGAATGTATCTCAAGTGGCCCTCCCTTTTAATTATTGTAGCTGAGAAGCACCAGAAATATATTCATTTCTGAAGTTTCTATTCTTTCCTCCACCTAAAGCAACTCTACAAGGCTACCTAATCTAACACTGCATCTGTATTTTGCCTGGACACTTACAAAGGGCCACACTGTACTCATGTCAGCAGGTAACAGTTAAGTGTTTCCTCAAGTTTGAGAGGAATCCATTTCTAACTCCTTGTGGTCATCCTGCAGTGCTTTCTGCTCAGAAACATTGCTTGTTCCTGCCAAGAGCTCCATCACTCCTGAAGAGTGCATCTGTCATCCCACCCACAAGTGCTGCTTCTTCATGCTTACTGTGGTCTACCATAATGCTTTCCTAGGGGTAGTCCACTGTTGACCAACTCTATTGTCTGCATTCTCATATAAAAGGTCACTTTGGTACACATAAACTGTGGTTATGAAGCACTGACACATATTCAGACTGACTTGCTGCATTCACATACTGCATCAGATACCCAATTTTTGGTTACCTATAAAGCTCAGAATCAGGGGAAGCTCAAGCCAGGAGAAGACCTGAAGGTACAACCCATCTGTAAGAACAGAATCATCACGGTATATGGCCATAAAACCCTACCACCTCAAGAAGTTAATGTCACACTGCCATACAAGTTCACAATCATTAAGAGAAGGCCAAACAAAATGTTAGTGAATTTGGGTAGGCAACCACCCAGGTCCTCGAACCCATTCACCTCCTGGAATAAGGCAGCTCAGGCCAACCTATTTATGAAGCTGGGAGTCTGCAAAGCCAACATTAACTGTTTGTTTGCCAGCATCTAGGCTGATGCTGATCAAAGTCAAAGCACAAGGCTGCTTGCCTGGGATCATTAGCTTTGCTCATCATCTGTCTGCATAAACTGAAGTCACGTGTACCTCTCTTTAAAACCTTGCTTTAAAGGTATCTAGCAGCACAGACGATATTAGCACTAGGTCATTGCTTTAGTTTAGTCATGATGCAAAACCAAAACCAGCAACATGCAGCACTTTCCTGTTACAACTTGGATTTTCCTTGAAACCCTGCCATCTGGGGAATGATCAGACCTGACCCAGTTTAAACTAGCAGTTATCTACTAAAAGTCATACGTATCCTGCACTGACAAGCCTACTCCATCAGTAATGTTTATTACTAAAACATCTGGTGCTCTCCTGAATTGTCTTAGTGTAGAAATATCCAGTGTTGCTTGAGTTGTACAGAACTGACCCATTTAAGAGAAAGACTACTGTGCAGCATTTACTTTAAGAGCCATGAGAGATGTGACTGATCAGAGAATCTGGAAACACTGGTAACTTTATTCCTTATCATACAAGGACATCCTTAAGATTAAAGCTCACTTATCCTCCAATAACTCATTTTTCTTTGCCAACCTAACCTGTGGATATTGAGGACTTTGCCTCCCATACCACAAAGGAAACAAAATTACAAGTCTGCTTAACTCCATTTATCTATACAGGTATCACTGTAGCAAATCACTATTTCAAACTTTCACCTCTCCCCAAAACACTTGTGAGTTGACCTACAGTCTGTTACAGTCACCACTCTTTTAAACTACACCTTTGGTATGCCCCAGCACTTCACCAAGATCATACTGTTGGCTGTGCACTTGCACTGCACAACCCAGTTCATACATTTCCTGAGGAACAGTTGCCACCACACAAGAATTAGTAGTCACACATCATTTGCTCCCAAATGTATGGTATCACAACAATAGTAATCTGCACTGCCTTCAACTACAGAACAGTTACTTGCATAAAGGTGTGGTCAGACCCTTGAGACATCCAAAACTTTTATACATGTTTAACTCTGGCTCCAGGAAGACTTGTGTGTTAATTCTGTTGAGAATTATTTGCTGATCAAAACACACACCAAATAACTTTATCTCAGCCTCAGTCTCTCAGAGGTAGCATGTGCTCTCTATTATTTCACTGGTTTGCCCATCTTTCAGGAGAAAAAGGCAGGTGCCTAGTACAAGTAGTTTTGCTCTAAAAAATCATACCCACCTTCCTCAATTTCTCAAAATGCTACTTAAGTTCTGAAACTGAAAAACGTGTATTTGTGACTAAACAAGACAGTAAGACGTCTTCTTGTAGAACTGCCAGGTAAGTAGAAGGACAGCAGGGTGACACTAGCCTGGCTGACCATGTTTTGCATGTAACCTGAGTGAGGTCTTGCATATCACCAGACTGAAGATGCAAAATGCACTTCTCACAGTGAAACTGGGACCCACACTTCCCACTTGCCCCAGCACTCCTAGGCAAGGTGAGGGAGTACTCTTGTCTTTGCCCCCAGGCCTCTCATCACAGCTGCATGTGCAGCAAGCCTTGCAGCCAGAGCAGGATGACCTTGCTTGTCAGGAGGAAGTTTTCCCATACTTGGTGGCAGGACTAGTTTTCAGCCAAGATCAGTAAGCTGGTCCAACTCGCTAACTGGATGTCTGCATTGAGAGTTCACATGATGGAGCAGAAACAACCCCACCAGTGAAGCAGAAATTCTGGCTGCATTTAACACCCTGCTGATAACATCTAACTGCTTGCTGCTGCTGCTGCCAAAAGGCAAGATCTCACTTTCTACCCCCCACCCCAACTCCTCCCTGCTCTGCTCCAAGCCACAGTTCCACCCCTTCCCATGTTTCCAGCACTGGCACTCAAATCTTTGCAGGCAGATTTAACTCACACAGATCCCAGAACACCGTTCCAGCTTGCCTGTTTTTCTCCCCATCCAGAGAAGATTCAGCTCACAAAGTGCTTCAAGTGAGAACTAGGGCCAGAAAAGGAAAGAGCAAAACATGCAGTCAAGAGGGAGGGGAGCCTCTCCCTTCTGGGGACCAATTAGGTCAGCCCAGCATCCTTAAACCATTCCTTCAAGCTGACTTAAGGCCAACTGAAACACATCACATGGTGGGGAAGGGGCAGGGAAGAGTTAAGAAGACGTAAGTAGCTGTTTAAGCAAACCTAGAACTGCATTTTCAGCTACAACTGCCTAAGCCTTAACTTCTGATGGAAGTCACAAATCCACCAATTTGAATGTACAGTGTGAATGACAGCACTAAAAGTTATGCTTGTCAACATCTATTCAATTAAGGCAATTAACAACCATAAAAAGCAAAAGGAGCATTTGAGGACGTATGCTTTTATTTGTGTTCAGATATGAGCAAGCAAAACTGCAAATTTAAGCAATTTGAAAACAGCTGCTTTGAGCTTGAATGCGTGCCAGCCCACCATCACCTGAAAAAGCAGCTAGGAATAAGGTGTAGAAGGACTAGCAGGGGTACAGGTGACAGGCCCCTCTTTCCTCTTTTAAGGGAGAAACAGATGTGGTACAATAACATTAGGAAGGTGAAGGACAGATAACAAAGTTCATAACAATTTCTAGAAATGGATCTACAGGATTGCCAACTACATTTGCAGGCATCCTCCAAAAACTGGAGCTGACATCGATGATGTTATTTCCCTCCCAAAGCACCTGCATGTTTATCCTTCAGCAATTACTGTTTGCAGAGCAGTTCAGTTTCACCTACATGGTTTCCACACCAATATTTGTGCATAAAATAAAGTACAGTAAGTTCCAGGACCTGCAAGGTTAAATTCAGGAATTTTGATTGGGGCATGATGGCAACTGAAGAGTGAAAGTTTCACTTCTGTATCAGGGATAGGCTGAGAGTTCTGTGCATGTGTGAGTACATGAAGTTACTCCTGATGAGTCTGTGAGCTACTTCTGTAAAAACTTCTTTCAATACAGTATCTTTCAGCACTGGTGTTGATTTTGTCATGATCTTTCCACACAGGTTCTGGGGTAAAAAGGCTGTGACAATCAAGAAAGCATACTCAACAGGAACATTTTTGTACTGAAGGTTTTATGTAGTATTCAAGAAATTCATTAAACAACAATGTAGTAACTCACTAAACTCTTCAATGTTATTTGTTTTGAGCCTAAATTTTTTCTTGTCCCAGACACTGTCTTCTGACAGAGAAAAGAACAAGACCTACGTAAGCACTTGTGGACAGAAATAAAGTCATGCCTTGGTACACAAAACTGGGAATGTCTTATTGTTAAAAGTTGTGTTCTCCTTGTGAAACTCTTAAAATAATTACAGCAATTTTAGTAATATTTAGTTTACTCTCAGATAAAAATCAATCACATGTTCTTTTAAGTTCTCTTCCCAACTAGAGGTGAAGTTGAAAATCTACTTGTTTCAAAACTTAAATCTTAAGGTACTCAAATAGAACAGTAATTATGTGGCTGTACTTCAAACTTCAAAAGCATTAAGTCAGTTAATACAGAAGATGAGCAGCCAAACAAAGCCAGCAAATGGCTACTCACTTATACATAACAAGAGTGAAGAGTAAAAGCAACAGCACTGAGGTCCCAGGATCATTAGAGCTAGTGTTGGAATGCACTCTGCTTGGCACAGTGCACTATGGTGAGTAACAGAGAAGAGGAATTAGACACGTTCATGCCTGAGTAATCAAGTCATGACAGAAAGCTCTCAACCCTGTATGTGAATACATTTGGTCTCAAGATAACTCCACTGAGTCAGGCAGAAGATGTGCTATATGTGGAATGTCACCACACTTCTAAGTTCTTCAAGTACAGAAACTGAATGTAATTGTGTTTCTTGCATTGGAACTATGATATGATTTTTCATTTGTTTCTTCCTCCCCAAAACAGAGTGGGAAGAAAACTAAAATTCCTAAAAGAAAGTGAGCAGTAACTAATAGCAAGTGAATTACCTGTCTTTGGTGGTCCAGATCTGCTTTATTACCGACTAGAATCATAGGAAACTCATCACGATCTTTCACTCTAAGAATCTGTCGCTGAAATTTATAGATTTCTTCAAAGCTGTAAAAAAATAGAAGTAGGCCATCAGTGTACTTATCCATAGATTCCCAGGTTCTGTAGAAGCTCAGAAATTATGAGTCACCTATTTGGACTTGCCCTGCCATGCTCATGACTTGCTGCACAAGCTCAGACAGCTGCAGGCACTCCACCAGAGTTCACTGTCACAGCATGACCAGTTAGAGAATCATCCAATGCTCAAGCTAAAACCAAAATCCTGAAGTTAGCAGTGTGCTATGCACCGGGCTTAGGTGGGGTGGGCTAGAAGAACTTGGATGCCAATGTGCTACGGAGAATCAAGAGACCACAGTCCATTCTATGGATACTGACTCAAGCTAGAATATCCCAGTTACAGTCTACAGACCCTGGTGATCAGCATTTCAGCTGGCAACCTCCACAGCTACTTCTGGGAAAGTTGAGGAAACCTATCAAAGCTGGACAATTTTATTTCTTGAAAAACAGAAAAATGGCAGGGCTAAGTGACCAGAGTGCTTTCCAGTTATTGAGTTATACCAGGTACTGATGCTGTCCAAGCAGTAAGGAATAATCCAGAAGTACTTAAGTGAGCAAAGCAGAAAGCTACAAAAACTGTACATAAAACAAGTTAATTCTGGCCTAAACAAGGATTTCTGCAGGCAGAGGGAGGGCTGGATAAATAAATAATTGCTTTCAAGTAAACACTATCAAAGCTACGTCACTGCATAATGAGCTTCATCACAGATACTTGCAGACAATCACATATCCTTTGGAGCACAGACCTCCCAAGCACTGTATTTAGTTCCAGGCATACAGTCTGAAGCCATTTACACTTAGATTGCAAGCTAAAAATTTAAAAGCAAGATGATTTATCAGTAAGAAAATTGCATTACAAAAAAAATAATAATTATGCAGTCAGCCATGACAATGCCAGTCCACACAATCCATATACTGCAATCATGAAAAGAAAGGTGAATTAGAAGGAAGGTATGCCACTAAGCATGGTTGCAACTCCATTTAGATATGCTGTTTTAATACTCTGCTCAGAAGTCTGTAGCAACGAGAGAGTTGAAAGTTACCAACTAAGTCCTCTAGGTTTCTTCTTGCTTCAGAATTATTTTCCATCACACAAGCAGAACAGACACTGCTAGCAGATACTTCATTGACAGGCAAGGAAAGTCTCGAATCAAATGGATATCAAAACAAAAATGAAAACTCTGCTTTTCAGAAGTCTTTGCAGGATTTCAGAGAAGAGAACGATATGCAAGTTTAATGTGTCAAGACCTGCTTAAAATCAAGGCAGACCTTTAGCCAGAAGAGCAAACAAAAACTTAAGATTTTTTACACAAACCAGGAGTTTACATGATGACTTAAAAAAACCCTACAGTCCTCTGTAACAAAAATATTTATGCTAACACAAGTGCTCAGTATGTCCTAAATCCACAGACCCAGTCTCTTCTGGATGGTACATCAAGATAAATTTATACATTTAGCAGCATTAAGTGTAAGATACACATTCAATGGAAACATGCTCATGCTCCATAGAATATTTATCTTAATTCTCATTGATAGAGCTGTTAGTAAGATCAGAAGTAACATATCAGAGCCTAGACTGAATCTGTAAGTGGGGGAAGAGGGAGGAAAACACAGACATTTTTTTTATCATTTTATTGCTCTCCTGTTGCAACTTGAAACAAGTAGAAGGACAGATCCCTGAGCACTTCTTTATTACTACGTATCTGATAAGCTCAATGGAGGAAGATCACAACCAAAACATTAAGTGATTGTCTGTATATACATGGAACTTTCCTACTCTTACAATGATCAGGAGCTTCCTGACCAATCTCTGTGAGCTTCTAAAAAGATGTTTCATCTCAACTCCACAGTCAAACAGCTATGCAGCTTCTGGTCAATTCAGGGGAATAAGAGTGAGCACTGCCTGCAAAAGAGTGCAGAGACACACTCTGAACTGGATAACCTGTTCAGAAATCCAGAGCCAGGCACCTGACATTGATAAGCACACAGCAAGGGAATATTTCTAAGAACTGATCAGACATCTAATTTAAATTTCTGTCGCTCCCAGGAAGCTGGAATTCTGGACTGCAATAGAGTGCTTGAATAGAATTGCCTTTTTTTTTGTGCACGTGTGCATGCTTTCAAGTCCTCTATTCCAACAGACTGATACTTTCAATAAGTGACTGGTTTAAAATGGGTTTTCATCAGTGCCGAGTGTCACACTGTGGAATCTAAAAGTGAACGCATACTCAATGTTTCTGTTTGAGATTATCAATAAAAGATAACCACTAGGATTATAAAGGACAATAATTTAAGATTAACTACAATTTGTTTAATAACTTGACGTCAGGCTTACCTTCCTCTGTCAGTGACTGAGAAAACAAGCAGGAAACCTTCCCCTGTCCTCATGTACTGTTCACGCATAGCTCCAAATTCTTCTTGTCCTGCTGTATCCAGAACTGAACATACGCAAAACACTGATTACTATAGTTCATGCCCTTAAGAGTATAGACTAAGAAAAAAAATCCTTTCTAATAGAATTATAGCCTCTCCTGTCCATCATAACTCAGCAGAAATCACCTCTAACAGAGAAAAATCTATCAGATTTTTGCTAAGATTCCCAACAAGTTCTTGGACTGACTGAACAATTCAAGACCTACCAAACAAACTGAATAACAAAGCTTGGTGGACTTTGGCTAATTCACAACCAGCTGAAACGGATGGAAAATGCTTATAGAGACTTGGTTGAGGTGCTGATTTGTCCTTAAAGAAATCACTGGCAAGGGAGAACTGAAACTTTTAAAGCAAAGCATTTATATTGCATTTGGAAGAGACTGCACACAACAGTCAAGTGATGGGCTTTTCACTCCACCATGTCACCCAGGTAGCTGCCAAGAGTCACATAAATTCTCCTAATTTTGTAGACGCTACGGATTTGGGAATAATTCTTCACAAAAAATGTCCAATTTGCTTTAAAGATAGACACACATACTGAAGACATAAGCACTTCAGATCCAGGGTATCTTACTAATAAAACAGAGGTAGGTAGCTTTTATAAGCCATACACTTACATAAACCCCACATGCTGCACAGTTGTTTACCTGCATTACAGTTTATGCATATAGATGTAAACACAGGCACCAACAGCTACAGGTTGTCAGTACCACGCTTTAGCAAGGCTACTTACTGTCCAAGCGCGCAGCTCTCTCATCTATCACACATTGCTTGGTGTAGGAGTCTTCAATTGTTGGATCATAATCCGTAACAAAATAGGACTGCAGAAAATAAAACAAGTTTGTGTGTAAGAGAAGCACATATAGAACACTTATCGAGTAAGATGCTAAAACCGTACGCTTGGCAGCTTTGGGAAGATGAGCAGGTTTTACCCATGTACAACTGTTTGCCACTTTACCCCAAGAGTTACAGTTAATGGCTCCCGTATTCCTAGCAAACACCCATAAACTGCAGATATTACTAGCAGAGCCACTGAACTTACTGGATTCCCACAGAATTTCTAGCATTTTCTCGAGACTTCTGGTAACTCCTAGAATTTTCAGTTTCTAGTGGCTCTTTAGGTCTCTAGTAACTGCTAAGTTTCTCTGAACTTCTGATAAGGTTTTGAATTTCTGGGAATTCTCAAAAGTTTCCAGGATTTCCTCTCCTGCTCCCAGAGCCAGTAATTTGTAAGTGCCAGGATTTTCCCAGCTGTTTTTAGGATTCCCTAGCAGTTTTATAACAATTTCTAGCAACAGCTCCCTGCAGCACAAACAGCACTTGTTTTGTAAGGTGAATAAAGTTTAGTGGATTATTCCTGTTCCCAGGATTTCTCTCCTGGTTTAAATGACTAAGCACACACCCCCTTCTAAAAGACAACTACTGAAAGCAGAAAAATCCATGGAACGCCTGTGTCACTCATTCCCTCAGCACAAGGCTCTACCAGATACTGCCAGTCTGTTGTTTATCACCCAAACTGCAGAGCAAAGCACATCCTGGTACATCTTTTCTAGAGACTGGGTGAACCAGTATCAAATACTGGAGTAACAATACTATCTGAGGACAACAAGGTTAGATTTCAAAGGAAGACTTTTTAGCTCGCATGCAGCTACAGCAAAGTTATTTTAACCCAAAGCTAAAGCACGTTGGCATAACAAATCTGAATTCTGATCAAGTTCCTCCCCTCTGTGCCCAATGAAGCAGGCATTGGTGACGTGTATACCCTGACAGTTCAGAAATCAAGCACACTGGGCATGTACACACCTAGATGAAAGCCACCGTAACTGAAGGCATACTATCTGAGTACATTACTCAGTC